CCGCTCAAGCACAGCCTGGGGCTGGGACGCGAGACAGCGCCAGCGACTCGCACCGCTTCACCTTCCCCCCGGATCGCTGGCTGCTGCTTCCACCGGACTTGGGCTGTGCTGCCAGCTCCCCTCTCCAGCCCCTCTCCCGTCCGTCCGCAGGGGAGGGCTGGCAGGGATCTCCACTCCCAGCTGCCAAGGAAACGCTGGAGGGCAAAGCTAAATCCTATTCCAGGGCCCTGCGTGCCGGCAGGCCCCGTCTCGCCCTTCTGCTTCCTTAGCAGACACTTAAATACATTTAAAACAAGAAACAAAGCAAAAAGAATCAGTGTGAAGTACCAAAAACCTTTATTTTTCCCCCAAACCATAACAACATTTGACATTATATTGATTTCCTCATACATTTGTTATTTCTCTACGTTAGGAACCAGATACAGAAAATACAAACACGATCTGTTGAATCAAAGACGGCACAGCATTCCGTTAGAAAAAGAAACAAAAAACTAGAGGAGCAAGATAAAAATGGTGAAAAATAGTCATTCCCTCCAGCCCAAACTTTCCAAGAATCATCATCAAAATAGAGCAGTGGAAGTAGCTTCTCTTTCTAAACGCACTTCTGCTTTAAGAAAAAAGTTAGATTTATCTTTAGATTTCAATGTAAAAAAATGTTAAACTATCTTTCAAGCAATTTTGGAAGTTTGCATAGACCCATTCCCTTTCCAAAAATATCAGCAATCTCTCTATAGAATCTGATATAAATCAAGTGCGCGCCTCATCTGAAGATCACCAAGCTCAATTCACTTTCAAGAAAATAAAACATGATCTCCCCTTCCCCTCCCTCCCCCCACAAAAATACGGGCTCTACCGTTATTCCTTGTGTTTGAGGCAAGTTAGGAGGCTCAGCCACACCTCTCGCTCACAGCTTCATCCAAATTCCTTTTTTATTTCCCAGGTTTCCACGTCCGCTCCCTCCCGACGGGGCAGGGGCGATGCAATGCCGAGCTGCGGAGGGCATCAGGCTGGGATGGCGCGGGTGGGCTGACGGACGACGCAGCTCTCGGGAGGGAAGCGGGGGGGGGGGGGAGTTTGGCGCTCCCAACACACAACCCCCCC